CTGAAAAGGCAGATTTTGGGGCTGCAAAGACAGATTTTGGGGCTGCAAAGGCAGATTTTGGGGCTGCAAAGGCAGATTTTGGGGCTGCAAAGGCAGATTCGGGAGGCACACCCGCTCGCTGAGCGCGTTGTATTTGATGGCCAGCTCATCGCGCTCCGCCCGGCTCTGCGCCAGCAGATCCTCCACCCGGGACAGCTCCTGCTGCAGGATCCGGTTCTCCTCCTGCACGGACAGCAGCGAGGCCATGGCCCCTGCGGGGTGGGATGCAGAGAGGAGGGATGGGATCCGGGATCCGGGATCCGGGATCTGGGATTGAGATCCAGGATCCGGGACCCGGGATCTGGGATTGAGATCCAGGATCTGGGATCCAGGATCTGGATCTGTGATCTGGTATCTGGATCCATGATCTGGGATCCAGGATCTGGGATCGAGATCGGGATCTGGGATCTGGGATCCAGGACCTAGCCAGGGCATCATCTGCACCGTGAGCTGCTCTGCTGAGCCCTCCCCAGCTGTAGCAGATGATTTAGAGCTGCAGTCATAAAACTGCCACAAATTCACGTTTGTGATCCCAGAACCACTGTAAATTCACGTTTGGTTCCAGAACTTCTGCGGATTTCCAGTTACAATCACAAAAAATGCTGCAGATTTGTAACTTGTAATTTGTAACAAAACTGACACGGAATTTGCATTTCTAATGCCAAAACCTCTGCAAATTCATATTTGTGATCCCAAAACCACTGCGGATTTATAGCTGCAACTATAAAACTGGCACAAACTTGAATTTGAGATCCCAGAACTGCTGTGAATTCCTATTTGTGATCCCCAAACTGTTGCAGATTAACATCTGCAACCACAAAAATCACTAAAAGTTTGTGCTTGTGATCTCAAACCTGCTGCAGATTCACAGCTATGATCCCCAAACCGCTGCAAATTCACATTCGAGACCCCAAACCCGCCGTAAATTCACATTTGAGACCCCAAACCCGCCGCAAATTCGCATTTAAGATCCCAAACCCGCCGTAAATTCACATTTAAGATCCCAAACCGCCGCGCTTTTCTATTCGCAGCCTCAGACCCGCCCCCGATTCTCCGCTGGGATCACGGAGCCGCCGCGATCCGCGATTTTTCCATCACAAACCCCCTTTGCCCTCCCAAACCCGCTGCTCAAGTGCCGATCCCGATCCCGACCCCATTCCCGGTCCCGATCCCATTCCCGATCCCGGCCCCATTCCCGACCCCATCCCGACTCCCCCGGCCGGGGGGGGGACGCGGTGACCCCACCTCAGCATCCCCCGATCCCCGGGCACCCCCTGTCCGCGGCCTCTGCTTCCCAGCCCCGCTTTCCCGGGATCCGGGGCGCTCCGGGCTCGGTGCCGCCCGCGGGAAGCGGATGCGGGGTCGGGATCAGCCCGAAATCCGCGTCCCCTCCCCCGTGGGGGCGGGAGCGGGGACCCTCCTCTTCCTGGAGGTCCCGTCCCCCCCCCGAGCCCCCGGCGGACCCACCCGCGGCTCCCGGCGGCGGGAGAGCGAGGAAGAGGAAGGAAAACAGGAACGAACGCCGGCCCCCGGCGCTGCGGTGGGAGGGGAAGTTCTGGCCGGGCTGGAGCCGCTCTCCGGCGGGGCAGCGAGCTCCCCGCAGGGCCCGGGCCTTAAACCCCGCGGTCCTTAAGCTCCTTAGCGCCCGGAGCTCGCTCCCGGCAGGAAAAGCTCCAGGGTGGAGCGAGCCGGGGTTGCCGAGGGGTGAAGCGGCTTTAACATCCCCGGGATGCGGGGACGGCCCCGGGACCCCGGCTCATCCCCCCCGCCGGAGCTTTAATTAGCCCCCGGGTAATTGGAGGCTTTCTGCCCCCACCCCGGTAGGGGAAGGTGGGGCTAAATCCCCGAGCCGGGCCCCAAATCGCCGAGAACGGGGGCTGGAGGCGTCGCTGCTCCCGAAACAAGGGATGGATCCGGTCCCGAGCCGCGCTCCGGGCAGGGCGGGGCTCGCCCGGCCGCGCTCCGCTCGCCCCCCCGGCGAGGAAAGTGCCCTTTCTCCCCCGGAGAGCCGGGATTACCCGGGCCAGCAGCGGGGATTGAGGATTTACCGTGCCTTGGATGCCTCCAGCCAGGCAGGGACTGACTCCAATTCCACCCCACAGCGTCCCAAAACTCCTCCTTTTCCCCTCATTTCTTCTCCAACCTTCCCCTCCCGGCGTCCTTCCCTACAGAAACCACTGCTAAGCAACAGGTTCTGTTGTGCTCCGTGTCCAATCCCATTCCCTCGGCACCGGCAAGGAATGGGAATCTCAAAAGCCCATCCTGGACGCTCCGAGCTCGCCCAGGGGAGGGGAAAAAACAAAATTCCAGTCTGGCATCAAAAGCATTTTATTGTTCACTTGGAAGCGTTACATTCTCACCTGGGTTCGCTGCCAGGCCCAGGGGAAAGCTTTGAAAGCAAAATGCCCGTCATCCAGTTGGAAATGGAAAGGAAAATCCAAAGGGTTGGATAAAAATAAGTGGGATTTCGTACTCGGAAAAGCCTTAATATAAATAGGTAAGAAAATATTTATTTGTTTCAAGAGGAATCTCAACCCCAGAGGTGTCCAAGAGCCTGATTCCGTTCTGTCCTTAATAAAATGTCCATGGAAAGGAGTAAAAAAATCGTGTCTTCAAAATAGAGGAGGAGTAAAACCAACTTCCCAGAGTAAGAAATGAGGAATTTCAGGATGGAAAGGCCAGGATCAGGCTCCCCACATCCCGGTTAAGTGCTCAGAAAAAATTCCAGGCGGTGCTTGGTGTCCTGGCAGGGAAAGGTTTGTGTGGATCTGGGAGGTGGGACGGCTCCAGGAGGATGCTCCTCGCCCAGGGAAGGATTTATCCAGCCCAAAAGCACGAGCAGAAGGCAGAGGAGCCTCTGAGGGGACTCGGAGCTCTCCCTCCTTATCCAGGAGAGGGAAGGACCTGAGGGATTTCCCCAGAGGAGGAGGAGGAGGCTCCAGCTCTCCCAGGATCCAGGCCCTGCATGTGCAGCGTTTTAAGGCGTGTGGCTGTTTCCTTCCAGCACCGATTCCAGCATTTTGGAGCTGGGCAGGGTTTGAGGGCAGGAATCCTGAGGCTGCTTCTTTGGTCCTGAAGGAATCCCAAGGATCCCAGCACCCCCGAGGGGGAAAAGCAGATCAAGGTCAGGATCAGAACTGAACCCAGCCTGTGCTCCCCTGAGCCTGGCTGGAAGCCGACCTGGAGAGAGAGAAAAACAGGGATAAAACGGTGTTTGGAAATGCTAAAGGCATCCAGGGAGGAAACTGGGCTGCAAATGGGTCACCCAGGACCAGCCCAAAACTCTCCTGGAGCAACAGAGCAAGAAGTGCCCGAACTGAGGGAATTGGCAGCACAGAGGCAGAGCCGTTCCCAAACCCAAAAGTTGGGACTGGATGGAGCAGTGCCCCCTCCCCAGCAGGGTTTGCCAGCAAAACCAAGCGGTTTTGGGGCATCCACATCCCCCCAAATCCCCCTCCTGCTCACCCCGAAGCTTTGGCAAAGTCTCCCCAGACATCAGCAGCAGGAGGAGCAGCGGGCTGAGGCCAGGACAACGGGGAGTCTGTCACAAAGTCGGGAGGAGACAAAACAGAACACCAGCAGTGATTTCCCACTCTCATTCCCATTTTGCCCCGTTTCTGCCCGCTCTGAGGGATGCAGCAGCCCCTCGGGAGCTCTGTGGGAGGGCAGACCTGTGATGGGGGTTCCTGGGAGCTGGCTGGGTGTGGAGAACGGAGCTGGCCGCTCCCCAGAGCCAGATTTTCCTCCAGGGGGTGGTGGGAGCAAGCTCAGGCCCCCAGGCCCTGCAGGACGTGGCCTGGTGCTCCCTGTCCCTCCTTCTTTTTTCTTCATGTTCTGAAAGGAGAGCAGGAGGTTTGGGTGGGATTCCATTTAAACCCAGAGCATGAAAACCCTGGAAGGCAAATTGTTTTGATTTGGGAATAAAATCCTGCACTGCTGCAACCCCTCACTGCTGGTGTATCCAGAGGGGTCACAGCAGGGGTGGATTTTACCCCCAGATCCCACAAGCCTGCTTTTGGCAGCAGGAAAATCCCTGCAGGCAGAGTTATCCCGATGGGCTCTGCCCCAGGCCCATGCCCGGGGATTTTGGGGAGGAGCTGCTGCTTCCTGGTGCCACTCGAAGGAAAAGCTGGAATCAGCTGGAAAAGGCCCTCACAGCAATGTTGAGTTTGATGGTTTGCCCCTCCTTAAAGCCCAGATCCAGTTTGGGTCCCTGCTCCAGGTCCTGGGCCTGCCGGGCCAGCTCGCTCTGCTGCCTCACCCACCTGTGGGAATGAAATCCATGGAAAAGGAGAGCTCACAGCCTGCCCAGGCTCCCCCAGACAGATAAATCCTGCTCAGGATCATCCCCTCTGAGCTGTGAGCTGAGACCTCACCTGAGGGAGCAGCCAGGGGATGATTCCCAGAAGCGGCAGCTGGAGCCCCACAGATCCCACAGGCGGCACCATCCCTCCCCAAAACCCCAAAACCCCAAAATCTCAAAATCTCAAAATCCCCAAACCCCAAAACCCCAAAATCCCAAAATCCCAAAACCCCAAAATCCCCAGACCCCACCGTTCCCAGCAGCTGGAGCAGCCCCTCAGGGCAGCCACTCACAGCTGATACAGGAAGCAGAGGACATAAATTAGGGAATCTGGACTGGGAATTTGGGCTTGGAAGCCCAGTTTGGGACACTGCTGATCACTGATCACTGGAGAGAGGACGAGCTGCGAGTTTCCTCCTCCACACCTGCCCGCCCCAGCTCCCACTTCTCCACCACTCCTGGAGGAGAACTGCCAAAAGTGGAGCCGAGAGGACACAGGGAGAGGCACAAACTCACTTGAAGTGGTCCTGGAGAGCCACGTTGAAGTCAAAGGCATCTCCTCTGTCCACAAAGCCGACCCCGATGAATGCCCGGCGGCCTGGGCAGGGAGGAGGAGTCAGGGCTGGGATGCTCAGCAGAGGAGGAGGAGGAGGAGGGATGGGAGGATGCTCCATCCTGCACATCCCCCGTGCCTGGCGCTGCCTCCAGAGGGAGTTGGGACACTGGAGACCGAGCCACGGGACCGGGGATCACAGAATCCCAGCACGGTTTAGGTTGGAAGGACTGTAAATCCCATCCCATCCCACCCCTGCCAGGGTAACACCTTCCACTGCCCCAGGCTGCTCCAAGCCCCGTCCAACCTTGGCCACTTCCAGGGATCCAGGGACAGCCACAGCTTCTCTGGGCTCCTGTGCCAGGGCCTGCCCACCCTCACAGGGAGGAATTCCTTCCCAAAATCCCATCCATCCCTGCCCTCTGGCACTGGGAGCCATTCCCTGTGTCCTGTCCCTCCATCCCTTGTCCCCAATCCCTCTCCAGCTCTCCTGGAGCCCCTTTAGGGACAAGAAGGCCACAATTAAGTCACCCCAGAGCCTTCCCTTCTCTAAATGCACCTGCAGCTTCAGTACAAACAGCTTTTTAATTAACTGGCAGGAGGGGGATGCTCCCGCAACGCTGAGCAGCCAAACCTAAGTGTTTTTGTTCAGAGCCGTGGGAGGGAGGCAGCTCCTCCCCGAGCAGGGAATATTCCAGCACGGAAATCAGGAGCAGCGAGGGCTCTCGGGGGGCTGTGAGGGACCCACCGTTGCCATCCTCAACGCGGATGACAAAATATCTGCTGGAGTCCGTGACACCCTCCACAGCGATCCCGGGGAACTGCTCCACGGGAGCCTGGGCGAAGAGCTCTCCTGGAAAACAGCGAGGGGTAAAACTCCGCGCTGGGTAGCTCCGCGCTGGGCCCCGCAGCGCTGCTCCCCGCCGAGCCCCGGGTTTTTCTCTCCTCACCCGAGCTCTTGTCCTCCAGTTTGATGAAGGCCGTGCTGCCCTTGGCCGTGACTCGCAGGCGGCCGCTCCAGGCCGGCTGCTCCAGCTGCCACTCGGCGGCTCTGGGGGCACCAAGGGCAGCGTGAGCCCGGGGGAACGGGGCAGCCACGGTGCCACGGGGATTTGGCATAAATTGGCTCGTTTCAGCCCAAAACAGCCGCTGGCTTGGGGCGGGGAGCGGGCAGGAGCTGCGAGGGAGGTTTCGGTTCCTTTTCCGCGGAGTTTCCACAGCCCGAGTTAGGGACAGGCGGCGCTGGGGCCCCCAAAACACACGGGGGGGATGGAGACCCTGCCGTGGGGTGGGGATGGGGGGCACAGAGACCTCCTGAGAGAACCCACGGGGGCCGGGAGTTCCCACACGAGGGCTGAGACACCCCATGAGGGGCAGCTCGCCATGAGGGGCAGCTCGCCATGAGAGGCAGCTCTCCATGAGGGGCAGCTCTCCATGAGGGGCAGCTCGCCATGAGGGGCAGCTCGCCATGAGGGGCAGCTCGCCATGAGGGGCAGCTCGCCATGAGGGGCAGCTCTCCCACGGGGGCCGCGATTTCCCACACAAGGGCTACCCCCTGAGGGGCAGCTCTCCCACGGGGACGGACAGACCCCAAACGCCTCCCGGGAACCCCCCAAGCCTCATGAGGAGGGGACTCCCCACAAAGCCCACAGGAAGAGGGAGAGCCCCCCCCCAACGCTAGGAGGCGCTGTCACCTCGCGGGCGGGCGCGGGCCCCACCTGTAGCCGCGGTTGGAGGCCCGCGGCGGTACCCGGTACACGAGCACCGCCGGCTTCACGCACAGCACCGACTCGTACTCCTCCGGTGCCGCCGCCATCGCGGCCCCGCCGCCGCTCGGGCCGCAGTCTCGATGGTGCCTGGGCCTGGGCGGGGCCCGCCGGAGCCAGCGGCGCTTCCGCACCCATGGCGCCCCCTAGCGGGCGGGAGGACCCTGCGGGAACTGGGCCGAGCCCCGGAATTCACCGCTTTTATAAATCAGTAACTTTATAAATCACATAGTGGGGTCTATTATTTCTATTTATTTATATTATAGTGTTATGTGCTAGAGCATTACATGGTCTATAAGATATGTAAAATATATGTATGTGTGTGTGTGTGTGTGTGTCTGTGTATATATATATAAATATGATACTGGGCTGTATCATATTATATATAATTATTATTTTATATATATGCCTGTGTATATATATAAATATGATACTGGTTTGTATCATATATAATTATTATTATATATATATGTATGCATATATATATAAATATGATACTGGGTTTTATAATATTATATATAATTATTATATATATATGTGTGCATATATATATGATACTGGTTTGTATCATATTATATATAATTATTATTATATATATGTGTGTATATATATAAATATGATACTGGGCTGTATAATATATTATAGGTAAATAGTTAAAAACCATCAGAATTCCAGTAAAAAAACCCCATCAGCTCCAGTGGGAGCTGCCAGGGCTTTTGGAATTGTCACCCCAAGATTGTCCAGCACCTCCTCTGGATATTAGGGAACACAACATCCAGGGGGGAGCCCAGCATGGAGCAACAAAACAATCAGATTTAATTAATTAAATTAACTGATTTGCTTGGTTCTCCTCCAGGGAGGGGCAGCGCTCACATCCACATTTGGGATCCACATCTCCCCTTGGAGCACCGCCCTTCCCACCCTCCTCAGACCTCTCAAGCACCCTAAAAACGGGTTAAAATCCCCTGATATTGGTTAAAACCAGCACAATTATGGGCAAAAGCTCCCAGATTTTACCTTCCTGGTGGTTTTTTCCACCCCTGCCACCACAAAACCACCCCTGGCCCACAGGGGGGTAAAAGGAGAGAGCCGTAACGCCGTGAAAAGTTTAAAGACATTTATTTAAAATACAATTTATAAAACGTTTTCTTTCCAGCGCACGTGGTTTTTTGTGGTTTTTTTTTTTTGGGGGGGGGGGGGGTGGGTTGGAAACACGCGGTTTCATCCTCCCCCTCCTCGGGATGAAGGCGCTTCCCACAGGAACACCGCCGAGCCCTGCCCGCGGGCGGGATGTGTCCTGGCACCGGGATGCGGCAGGAACGGCCGGGAGAAGGAGATTTTCCAGTGCTGGAAAAGGGGGATTTCGGTGCCGGACGCGGAGGAGGCAGCGATGTGGCCACACCAGAAATCCGCTGGATTTGGGGAGGTTTTTGGCTATTCGATGCTAGTTGTAGGAATAATTAAGGAAAGGCGCAGTGACTACGGTTATTGCTGACGTCCTTCTCCCTCCCGCTCCCTCCCGGAGCTCATCCCGGCCCCCGGGCTGAGCGGGTGGATGAGATCCCCCAAAAGTCAGCGGGATCCCAGGGGGGATCCCTGAGGAATCCCAGCCCACCCCAAAGCAGCTCAGGAAGGTTCAGGCGGATCTCTTGGATACACAGGTAGTTTCCGTTCTCCCGTTTCTGTGGGATTTCAGCCGCGTTTCCGCACGGGGCTTTCCGTGCACAGCAAGATCGGCTCGTTCCCCCTTGAAGAATCCGGCAGGAACCACCAGGAATTCCAGGTTCTGGCCCCTCCAGGAAGAGCATTTAGTGTTCATCCAATCCCTTGATATCGAGTGATCCTCGGCTCCGTCCCTGGGGAGCAGCAGCCTCCCCGTCCTCTTCCCGGGAGCCGGGGCAGGACCATCCCTTCCCCGAGGCCTCGCTGCCTCCCGGGACACCGAGGGATCGTCCAGGCTTTCTCCAAGGCTGCTCTGGTTCCCGGTTCTGCCGTTGCAGGAGGGCTCGTACTGTCCGTGCGCCGCCGGGGCCGGGCCCTCGGGATATCCCACTGCCCGGTGGCACGGCTGGAGCGGCGCCGGAGCCTCTCCTCCTCCTCACATCTCCCAATTCTTCACTGCCCAGCCCTCTGTGGCCGGACAGCAGGCATTTTCACAGGGTCCCTCTGCATTCCCTCCTCCCCACGTACAAGAGAACCCAAAAAGATGTATTTTAAGCTTTTCCTCAAAGCCAGCAGGGAATCGGAGCCAAGCTTTAACAGGAGCGAGATGTGAACTGGGTCCAATTCCGAGGTACCTGGGGGGATCCAGGAGTTCGCTTCCATGGCAGTGGAAATGGAGAAGGAGAGCGTGAGCTTGTCCTCCCCAAGCCATCACATTCATGGAAATCCATTGGAATTCCCTCCGGAACACTCAGCTACCTCTCTGGATTCAAACAAACGGCTCAAACCCTTCCCATGCACTCTGCCCATCCAAGATACAGAAAACAAACAGAAAACCAAATGAAAGAACCTAAAATCCTTGCAAACAGAACTCATTCTGGAAGTGATGAGGACAACATGCGTGGCTGGGGAGGCTTCCCATCTTATTTTTTTTTTTTTTTATCCTTAAATGCCAGGTTTGGAGTACAACAAACGTTATTGCTGGCGCTCGCTCCGACCCGAGCGGGACACACACGACTCCCCGCGCCCGGCCAGGTCCGGCACGGCCCCTGCGGCCCCCTGGGACAGCCCTGCCGGGATCGCCGCTCACAGTGGGTGCAGAGGGGAGCTCACAGTGCGTGGGGCTCAAGGTCACAGTGGGCAGAGCAAAAAAGGGTCACAGTGCAAATCACCCCGGGACGTGCCCTGGCCCGGGTCCGTGTGTCCGTGCCGGCGGAACGGCGCCTCCGCCTCTATCTGCGCTGCTTGAAGCCCTGCGAGCCATCGGGGCCCAGCGGCTGCCGGATCACGTTGTTGGGCTGCCTGGTGTCCTCAGGCTGCGAGATCCGCGGGGGTCTGTGGGGAGAGGGGCACAGTTGGGCTTGTGGGGACACAGCTGGGGCTGCGGGGACACAGCTGGGCTTGTGGGGACACAGCTGGGCTTGTGGGGACACAGCTGGGGCTTCAGGGACACAGCTGGGGCTGCAGGGACAGCTGGGGCTGTGGGGGAGAGGGGACACAGCTGGGGCTTGTGGGGACACAGCTGGGAGTGCGGGGACACAGCTGGGAGTGCGGGGGAGAGGGGACACAGCTGGGGCTTGTGGGGACACAGCTGGGCTGCAGGGACACAGCTGGGACTGCAGGGACACAGCTGGGGCTGCAGGGACACGGGGAGCAAGGGGAGGGAATGAGGTGTACAATTCCCAGTGCCTCCAGGAAACCCCTGCACCCCCAGGAATGCTGTGGTGTGCTCTGGGATCCCCAGCACAGGAAGGACATGGAACAAGTCCGAAGGAGCCTGCTGGGGTGATCAGGGGGATGGAGCAGCTCTGCTGGGAGTTGAGGCTGAGGGGACTGGGATTGCTCAGCCTGCAACAGAGAACCCCTGGGGTGACCCAACCGTGGCCTTGCAGTGCCTGAAGGGACCAGCAGGAAAGACAGAGGGACCCTGGACAAGAGGCCAAGGGGGAATAGATTCCCTCTGCCAGAGGGCAGGAATGGATTGGATGTTGGGAAGGAATTCCTCCCTGTGAGGGCCTGGCACAGGTCACCCAGAGAAGCCTGGATCCCTGGAAGTGTCCCAAAGGCACACGGATGTGGCACCTGGGGACACGCTCGGTGGCAAACACAGCAGTGCCAGTCACTGGCTGAACTCTGTGATCCCGGAGGACTTTTCCAGCCTCAATGATTCCAGGATTTATGGCACTTCCCCTCACTCCCACGTGGCTGAGGCTCTAACAGAGCCCTCCTCTCTCTGCGCCCCCCAAGGAGCCCACCCACCCCCAGCAGCACCAGGCAGGAATCCCCCAGGAGCCACGGGGCTGCTCTCACCTGTCCAGGATGGGCTTCTCCTGCTCCTCCTCGGGGCTGGCGCTGCCCAGGATGCGTTTCCTGGCCTCGGCGTACTCGGCCTCGCGCTGCGCCAGCGATTTGACGGGGAAGGCGGGGCGGCTGGCCGAGTTGGGGTTGCTGAGGACGCCGTTGCTCGTGGGACGCTTGAGGATGCGGATCTGGGGCGGGGGCCCCGCGGGAAGGCTGTCGTCCTGGATCACAATCGGCACTTTGGGAGGAGATTTGGACTTTCTGCTGCTGGGAACAAAAACATGGGGTTGGTGCTTGTTTTCCACGCGGGATTTCTGCCTGGTGTGTGAATTCCTCACGCTCACGGGGTGCTCCTGTGATTAAGGAATAATTAAAGACCTCGTCATAGCTGTAACTCTAAACTACAGCAGGATGGAAAATCAGTCCCTGCTATGTCTGACACCATCAAACTCTACTGAAGGAAAGGGAGCAGACACTGGTTTAGTTTTAATTTTAGCATTTCTAGTTGAAGATGTTGGGAAAGCACCTTGATTTCATTCCCTGCAAGGATTTCCAGGGCTCCTCTCAGCAGGACAGCCAGCCTGCCATTTCACTGCTCGGAGCCAGCCTCGGCCCCAGCTCACCATCTGAAGGTTTTATAGTCCCTTTTCTGCGTGGAACTCCCAGAGGACAAACCCCATGACTCTCCAATAACCAAAGAGGGGAAAAAAAACCCCAACAACAAAGGACTTGTCAGCAGTGATTAAAAACATTTCTAGCAGGAGAAAATAACACAGCCCTTGCCTAGACCCAAAGGAAGCAGGAAAAGAAGTTCTCCCTGATGCAAGACACAGCGAGTCAGTCCAGAGGCAGGAGCTGGCATTACCTGACTGACCCATTCCAGTGAAAAGTGCCTCTTTCTTACCGCGCTTCCCCCGGGCTGCAGCTGCACCCAGCCTGGAGGAGCTCTCAGCAGCTCTCTGCTGCCCCGACACGGCTCCCAAGGGACACGGAGACAGCGATTCCCTATTTCCCAACTCCAACCCCGCTCCGTTCCAAGCTGTTTCCTCACTGTTCCCACTCCCTGGGCTGTCCGACAGCACCTCAGGAAAATCAGGATTTTACCTTTCCTTCTGTGTGATCTTCAGCTTCTTTTCCAACCGTCTGTCTATTTCCTTGAAAAGAAGGAGAGAAAAGTAAAAATCACAAGGTTTTTAATAAAATGAAGACCAATCTCAGCTTGGAGGTCGGAGTTTGAGCCTGTCTGGGCGCACATTTAATTCCACTCTCCCAAACACTGATCTGTAAAGGGGGAAGTGTGATTCCACCTGAGGACGAATTGGGAACCAAGAGGCAGGGAAAAGCAAAGCCACCGTGGATAACCCATGAGAAAAGCAAAACCAGCACGAGTGTTTGGTGAGCATACACCCAGAGCAAGGCGTGGGGCGCTCATTTTAATCCCTTCAGCTGGCAGAACACCACCTCTGAGGGCGAAACCCCACGGGATTGCCCAGCAAGGCATTCCCAGATCCAGGTGGGGACCAGGCCAGACCTGCGGGGCACGGGAGCAGCGGCCGGGGCGATCCTCAGGCGCCATTCCAGCGATCCACCAGCTCGATATTCCCGGGGGGAGCCGAGCCCACGGGCAGGGCTGGCTGGCAGGGCCACATTCCTGCGTGGAGAAATCCCTGCCCTGCCCCACACACAGGCTGGGATCCTCCCTGTGCTGCTCCACACGCTGCTGCCGCGGCACCCAGCGCGGAGAGACGCGTTCATCGCTGACAAAGCCGGGCTTTGAGCGTGTCAGCCTCTGCCCGAGGCTGGGATCCAGCTCAGCAAAGGCGGCCGGGTGTTGCAACCGGAGAGGTTACGCAGAGAATCTCGGCTAAGGAGAACCAAGGCAGGTTTCAACCCTCCTGCAGCTGACCTGCCCCAGGCCCACCGGGATTTTTAGATCCTCTCCAAAACAGCTTTTTGTGTTTGATTTAATCATCAAGGAAGAGGAGGGAATGCTACCTGAGAGTGTCCTAGTTTAGCCAGCTGATAACTGGCACCACAGAAAGAAATTCCAAACTTCTGGCAGGAGGCAGCTGCTCTGCTTTGAGGCCTGGCTGCTTCCCCATGCTTTCCATGTTTTTTTTCCCATGTTTTCCATGAGGAAACAGAGCAGGCACAGCTCAGGAAAGGAATGGGACAGAAATTCCCTGCCCCTGTGAGCAGGGAAGGAGCACAAGTCACTACAAGATGCCAAACCACAGTGCTGGATGTTGGTCATGCAGGCCACGGCAGCCTCCACCTAGAAGGGAATAAATCATTTCAGGAAGATAAAAGGTGGGTGGGAGGCTGAGTTTCCTGCCCAGCCCTGTCCTGGGAGGTAACAAAACCAGGCAGAGCTTCACAAGGCAGGTCTCAGCCAGAGCCTCCCGGGGAGGGCAAACACCTGCAGCTTCCTTCCTCTTCAAGGGGCCTGGGAGGGAGTCCAGCGCTGCTCAGGAGGGAGGAAAACGTGTCTGAGCTGCCTCCTGCCCTCTGAGAGAGGCACGGGGACAGGCTGCAGGAGGACAGCCAGTGAGGATGGAGATGCTGCGGAGCAGCTGGTGGCAAACAATGGAAGCCCAGCTCAGGGGAAGGGGTTGGCTCCTCGCTGAGCCAGCTCAGGTGACATCGTGGTCTTTCTTGAAAGCACATTTTCAGTTTTCCCAGCCCCTGCCTGTGCCCACACCAGGCTGGCACGAGGAGCAAAGCCGGGAGCAGCTAAAACATTCCCTGAATTCCAGCCTCAGCAGCTGATGGAAGCACTGTGCTCTCTGCAGAACATCCTCCACACGCAGGGATCTTGGCAGAATAACATAAACCAACCCCTCCCACCCATCCCAACAACTGTCAGTCCTGCAGCATCCACGGAATTCCTGCTGAGGGGATTCCAGCTGCCTCCAGACATCCACTGGACTTTTGGGTAGAAAAAGTCTCCTTTTGTGTTGAAATAGATGGCCAAAAGCAGCTCCCCGCCCCGCACAGCACTCGGGGTGTCAGAAATTGTGTTCTCTTTCAAACACAGGGACTGCTGCTGCATTTTCCAGGAAGCTCAGTGTTTATTACCAGGATGTTTGGAATTGTAGGAATGGAGGGTTCGAACACCACGTGCAGAGACAGCCCCAGCCTTGAGCAGCCTCACAGCTCGTGACAGGGATCACTCCACCAATTTAAAAGCAGAACCACCTTGGCACTGCTCATTTTTAATTAAAATCAAATCCCTGCTGCCGCTCTGCACTGATCCATCCGTCTGCTGATGTCATTCCCTCTCCTCTGCTGTGTCACGCTGTCACCGGCTGGGTAAGGAGGTAAAATTAGGAACTGACTTGGAGGGCAAGTGCCAGAGGCACTACAAGCACCACAGGCATGAGCTGTCTGCAGAGGCAGCTGGATTTGGCATCCGAGGACCTGGACAGGTCACTGTGGACAAACCCCAGCCATCCATCACCTGAGGGGCTCTTCCAGCTCCCCCTTCCCTGACAAACCCATCTCCAAAAACTAAACCTGGTTCACATCCCTGCACAAAACCCCCTCCCCAAAGATTAGCAAGGAATGTCACCCATCTATTTTTAGGGCTATTATTTGTGGATGCCAAACAGCACCCAAACAAACAGCCTGAAGGAGACTCTGTTCTCTGACATTTAGGCTGCGTTTGTGGACAAAGACGTCATGGAAACTGAGCTCCAGCCCCAGCACCGCCATCCTTCCTACCCCTACCCTGAAGGAAACAGGATCCACAACCCACCCCTGAATGCAGACACAAAGGGGCTGCTCAGATCCCACGTTCCTGTGGCCTGGCATCCTAAAAGCCACCCTAAAAGCCAGCCCAGCCATAAAGCTGCTACCTTGGGGGTGTTCCTGGTGAGCTGGAGACCCTCAGCACCCCAGGAACGTGTCCTTCAGGGAGGGATGGCCCTGCAGAGCCCCCGTGGGACGGAGGCACATTGCCAAGCAAAACCAGAATACTGCAAAGGTTTGCCCAGAATCTTTTTGGTGTGGGAAGTCCAAATCCATCCTGGGCTGATCCCAGCACTATGGCAGCAGGAGAGGGGGGATCCTGCCCCTCTGCCCTGCCCAGGTGAGACCCCACCTGCAGAGCTGCCCCAGCCCCGGGTGCCCAGAGCAGCTGGGGCTGCTCCTGGATCCCTGGAAGTGCCCAAGGCCAGGCTGGACAGGGCTTGGAGCAGCCTGGGATAATGGAAAGTGTCCCTGCCCCTGGCTGGACGTGGAATGAGATTTAAGATCCCTCCAACACAAACCATTCTGGGATTCTGTGACCCTCCCAGCCCTGACACCAAAACCCAGTTTTCCTTGTGGACACAGCTCCTGCACACCCCAAGCTCGTTACTGTGACCACAGCAGTCATTAGCAGAGGGAGGTCACAGCGTCACACTCCAAAACATTTCCCTTCTGACTCTGCTGGACTTCACTCCCATTCAGCAAGTCCCAGTGACAGGAGCTGAAACCCTCAGATCTGGTGACCTGGAGCCTTTGCTGGCAGGTGACACCCACCTGAGCCTCACAGGTTCACTGAGGTGACAGACAGGTGCCACCTCAGGTGACCTGTGCTCCCTGAGCGCTGTGACACAACCCCCAGGCAGGGACAAAGTCCATGGCCAGCCTTTGGCTGCTCCCATCCTCCTGGAGTGGCCCAACTGGGGCATGGGGCAGGTTCTCCCTTCCTGGGGGGACTGCTGAGGCACAGCTGGGAATCTGCAAACTCCAGGGGGAAAAAGACACACAAGGAGATTAATTCCATGATTTTTTTAACCTGTTTTGGATTGCCAGAGTAATGTTTGAGCTGCAGGGACCCACAGGGATCAGAGTCCAGCCCCTGGCCCTGCACAGACACCCTAGCAAAGCCACCCTGTCCAAACCCTGCTGCAGCTCTGGCAGCCTCGGGGCCGTGCCCATTCCCTGGGGAGCCTGGGCAGTGCCAGCACCTCTGGGGGAAGAGACTTTCCTGATCTCCAACCTAAACCCCCCTAGCACAGCTCCAGCCCTTCCCTCAGTCCTGTCCCTGCTCACAGGGCAGAGAACAGAGCTGTCTCTCCCCTTGGGATGAAGCTGAAAGAGATTCTGACCTGAAATCAACTCTTAAGGCTCTGACACACTCACATTTCAGTTGGCAAAGGAATAACCAATGAGTCCATCTATCAAGCACCGATTCCAAGCCGAGGATCACCCGTGACCATGGACACACTCCAGTTCTGGAGCCCAGCTTCCCATCTAGCCTTTAATTACTGCTTTAACCAGGTAAACAGACCTGAGTGTCACCAACTGACCTCTCATATGCGATTCCAGCTGGGCCACACAACACAAAAACAAACCAGGAATTAAGGCCCATGTGTGCATTCTGCCCCAGACTGGCCTTTGAAGCCCTTACTCCAAACTCAGACAGTTCACATGTTACTCACACCCTGGTTTTCCATCCCTAATCCCAGACAAGCAAAACCTCCCCATCCCACAGACACTCCAGGGCTCTAATGAGACACCAGGGAGGTGACAGGGGTCCAGAGCCCCCACAGAGCTCTGCTGCACCCCGTGGCCCCGGGATTCCTGGGAGAGGGGACACTGCCAGAACAGAGGGCACCGTGGTGGTCACTCAGGGGTGGCACATTCCCAAGGAGCTGCTCCGTTTTCAGGGCAATTCTGATGGCACAAAACCAAGAGACAAACAGAGGCTGTGTTAAACACCTAAACAACCACTGGAGGATTCGTTTTACAGCTCCTTGAGTGACCAAACCCAAGCAGATGTGTCAGGTTTTTTGGGGGTTTTCTTCAACCTAATGAGATTTTCCTGGTGCCTGATCTGGGAGAGCTGCAACAGAGAAATGAAATGGATTTTAATTACGAGGCCAAGGGATCTCTGCTCAGCCCAGAGCTGTCTCTTGCTGACAAACCATCCTTCAGGCCTTGAGCAGAAGTTTTCACCCTCACCAGAAACTACAAACAAAAATCCCCAGAACTAAAAATCTGATGTATTTGCTTTCCCAAGGAGAACCCTGTGGGAGGAATACTGAACAGGTACATGCTGGGACACAGGCAACGTGTCCTGCCTCCTGTAGCTGTGACTTTGGGGCACTGGAATGTCCCCAGCTGCACCAGAGTCCATCAGGACCACAGGAACCACGGGACAAGAGGAGGCTGGGCTCTCCTGCGCTGTATCCTGCTCAGCATCCCACTTCCTGCAGGCACCACCAGCAGCTCCAGGGCTCCTTCCTGCCAGGCATGGAGTGAAATCCCCCACTCCTGCCCCCTCTCCCACCCTGCACAGGCAGCTCACTTCCCACGCCCCTCCAACTGCTCCCACAGGCATCCAGAGCCCAACAACTGCAACAGCAGCTGCTCCTCCTGCCAGGCCTACAGGGAGAGGCTGAGGGAGCTGGGAAGGGGCTCAGCCTGGAGAAAAGGAGGCTCAGGGGGAATTTCTGACTCTGCACAAGTCCCTGACAGGAGGGGACAGCCGGGGGGGTCAGGCTCTGCTCCCAGGGACAGGAGGAGAGGGAACGGCCTCAGGCTGGGCCAGGGGAGGCTCAGGGTGGACAGCAGCAGGAATTTCCCCATGGAAAGGGAGCTCAGGCCTTGGCAGGGGCTGCCCAGTGGTGGAGTGCCCATCCCTGGAGGTGTCCAAGGAAGGGCTGGATGTGGCACAAGGTGGGCATTGAGCATTCAATACTCCTGGAGGGCTTTTCCAATCAATTCTGTGATTCCCCAAGGAATCTCCCTGCCCACCAGCACAAGCACTACTGAGGTTATGAGCACGAATTCCCAGCAGTTTGGACTGGAAAAGAGCGTGAGAAAGGATAAGTGACAGAGACGTTTCCTTCTAAGGAAAAGCACCTGAGAGGTACCAGCAGGAAGGACAAACTGGGACGATGCTGCACGGCAGGACTGGAGCAGCAGAACCATTTTAAACCATTACTCAAGGCCACAGTCATCAGGTCCCGGGGCTCCAGCCGTGTCCCTTCATGGAGCGGTTTCAGAGTGCTGGAATTAACTCCACCACCGGGCACGAGGCTGGGCACAGCCCCCGGCTCCGCTGCCAGCCTGGCACTGGCCCCTCTTGGGCATTGAGTTACAAGGCTCTGTTTTGCTCCCCTGGCTCTGGCCAGGTGTAATCCAATCCCTTGCCCACAGTCCCGTTCAGAATCCTCAGCGAGGCCCTGTCCGGAGCTCCTTCTGCCCTCTGATCCTCAAGGAGCCCGGGGAACTCATTAAAAGCAGAGTTTGCCTGGCGGAGTTTCCTTTCCCTGCGAACACCCCGCAGAGCACCCGCCCACACTCCTGCTAAAACAGTCCCTGTATTTGCAAGCACAGCACACACAAATCCTCGGGGTCTCTCAGCGTGACAGACACGATGCCAATTCCAGCTCCTGAGCCGCTCTTACAGCGGGGACCCAGCTCGGACTCTCCCCGTTCTGCCCGAGCACGCTCCGATCAAGGGGGAAAAGGCGTTCGGGTGCGCGCCCGCAGCCCCGCTGTGTCCCCAGAGCCCCGCAGGGATCACCACCACGCACATTTTGGCTCTGCTCGCCGCCCTCCCCCTCCTGCTTCACCCCCCCGGGCACCGGAGCCTTGCGCGGGGCGGGGCTGGGCCGCGACCCCGCTGAGCCCCCGCTGCCGCAGCCCTGCCGAGCCCAGCTGCGGTTCGCACACCGAGGAGCACACGGAGAACGGGCAGGGAGCTGCTCCAAGGAGGGACCTGATGTGGGACCGAAAAACGGGCGAGCAGCGGGGCTGGGGGCGGCCCGCAGTCTCCCCACGCCGAGCG